CTAAAGCTTAAATTTTCAATTTAATTGGTAAAACCCTTTTCTATAATGTAGAGGTATATGCTGAGAAATGTCTGATGAACAAAACCACATGAATCTAAAAATTTCAAAACAGGAAGATACGTGCACATTGAAAAAAGCATGACGGAGGTAATTTACGGCTTAGAGGAAATAATTTTTTTACGAATGTACTTTTAGCAAATATTTCTGATCAAAATTAGATCTCTAACTAAATATTTTCCACATATTCCAGAGAGTTCCCCTAATAAAAATACCAATTGACACGACTTTAAACGCTGACATTTCTTTTACAACATTTTTAAATCGTGATGTTTATATAATAGTATACTATATATAATTCTGAATCTAGGATAAAAAAAAAAAAAGCATGGTTAATTACCTCTTTTAATTAACGTTATGTCATGCTCATCTATGCATTTTGTTTGTGCCTTTAAAACCAGCATTCTTCAACTGTATTGACGAACAGCTATCAAAACTGTTATTTTTATAAGGTAATTATCTTTAGATAATTCCAAGAAAGAGCTTGAGGCGATAAAACAAAATATAATTTTCGGCTATTGGCCTTTGCTTAAATGAAATTAAAAGAATGCCAAAAAATATATATATATATATATACCACATCATCAAACTTTATTTTTTTTTTATTGTTTACGTCATATCAATGTGATGTGCTTGCTTTTTGTATCACTATCTATAGACTAAGAGTTATATTTTATCATTGATAAAAAAAAATACAATAATACAGCATTGTTCCCGATTACATCTCCTTAGATAGAATTGGAATTTTTTTTGTGTGTGTTGGTAAAAGATTGAAGCAGGTAATTAATAAAGTTTAATTGCAGATACTAAGTACGAATACAAGAAGCAAACATGTCTTTAAACTGTATGTTTGCGAAGAAAAGTACATTTTACCTCTTCTCTTGTACGTAAGCTGTATCTCAATTACATGTGTAATTTATTAATGAATTATCTCTGAACAGCTGTTAATTTCTTCCTCTCATAGCATACAATGGTACATGAGGTATATAAACATATTTACCTATCAGAGTCAAAAATTATAAGGAGTATATAGTATCATATTATTTTGGGTAAAACAGTCGTATTTTTTTTAAAACAGATATAAACAGTCTTGCTAATGAAACAATATCTGTGCTAGACAAATTAAAAGACTCTTAAATTATGTTAGTACAATATTTCTTATCAGTAAGTATTCTACGAAATGTAGATAAAACTGGCATTCCATTACACAGTGGAATTCATCACCACGAGTTTTATCACATAATAGATACATGACTGTCTAAATGTATATTACACAGTTTCAATTTGAATTCTGTGATTACACGTTCTAAATGATGTGAATATAATCTTTAAATCCTTCAAAAGTTTCCTGGGTACATTTCTTATCCAAAACTGTCCTTTAAAATCCTGTTATTTCTATTCTTTTGAAAATTAATTTAGCAATGTTTTAACAATAGAGTTTAACCACGTAATCCCACACAAATTTAGATTAAATATTTATCATAATTTCAATTGCTGCACCTTTGTACAAGAAAATGTTTTTTTGGAATTTTTTCTCCAGAAAAAACGAGTATTTTAGTCTTGTTTGTATTTACTTGGAGCTTGCAATGATCACAATAATCTGGAAAAACAAGTTTTAAATTAATGCTCTTTGTTAATCATCTGGATGGCCAGACAATAAATCTATATTATCACCATAAAAAGTATTAATAGTTTAAGCTTATTCTGCAAATACTAATTTCTCATTGAGACTCGTGACCCATTTAATATCATTTTGCAAAGGATAGCGTTCAAAATAGTTTTAAAATAAATGTATATAACGTAAAAAGAAATTATAATAGGTTTTCACCTTGTCTATACATGTCAGAGGTTACATATGATTTTTTTAAAATGTTTTGAGTAATCCACTATACGAGGGGCATTTAAAAAGTTTTGAGAACTGGTTGCTAAAATATTTACCATTTCACAGAAGTTAATAAGTTTAATACCATTGAAAAGAGCTGAATTCGTACACATTTCAATAAACTGAATGATAAGTTAATACGATTATATATACTATTATCATAATATATTTTTTATTATTATATGTTTGCCCTTTCTCCAAGCAGTTGTACAATATTTATTTATGTAGAGATGATATATGTACCTCTGACGATTTAATAGATATGTTTCTCATGTACTATCATGTATGGTTTGAGCGAAATAAACTGAACTGTCAACTCCACAAAAAAGGCATTGACTCGCTGAGCACTATGTGTACTGCATGCACTTCCACCTATCATCTCACAGTTGTAGAATACTAAAGCATTATCCAAGTTAAACGCCACTCACGTCAAAATTCCAACCAATGAAAATCACGGATATCGGTGTATTTTTATAGTTTGTCAGTATATAATGTGAATAGGAAAATCCTCTTTTTGTTGGATTGGCAGGTGATCAAATCCGTAAAAGTTTATACAACTGGGAGATTGTAATTCTGTCAAAAATTTGCACCGACGGCAATGAACACTTATAATTCATTCTGCATTGATGTTTTCTGCTACAGAATATAACCAGCCATCGGCAAAGTATACATTTAATTAGCAGAGAAATCATACGAGTGAGGTTTATTACCTGTTTTGAAAGTGAGAATAAACATTTCGTGGAAATAAGCAATTCATTTTGATATCAACATTACATGGAAAACTTAACTTTTATCATACCTTATAAATTGATATCAGCAATTTTACATCAATTTTAGATATAAGAGTTTTCCATTTAATTTAAGTATTATAACAGATTGCTTATTTCCGCCAAATGCTTTTAACTGAACTCATTTTTTTCTTTCCCTTTGAATGCTGGAGTAAATTGATTTTTAAAAAATCAGACTAAAACTATCACGGGCTACTTGTTATTGGTTAGAGTTTAATGAAACTATAACCCTAACCCTAACCCTAACCCAACCCTAAGCATAACCCAACCCAACCCTATCTTATCCATAAATTTATCAGTCGTTGTGAGACGGACTGTGTCGATTGACTTTCGAAATGACTTCATTACTTCGATAAGTTGACCGTGATCGGAAGGTCGTGTGTTCGAATCACGGCCGCGACTGACCTAAGTCGATAAAAAAATAGATAGCAACTGTTCCTTCGCCAAGCGCTCGGCACTTTGAAGTGAAATTTGCAGGTCCTTCGGATGAGTCCTTAAAAACCGAGGCCACGTGTCACGGTAGGCGTTGGCGCGATAAAGAACCTCACTGCTCAATGGCCCTGAGTGCCGAGTAAAGGTCTAAATTTGAAGCCCTTCACCGGTATTTGGTGACGTCTCCATATGAGTGAAAAATTCTCGAATGGGACGTAAAACAACATACAATAAATCAATCAATAAGTTGTCATGAGTTGACGTGACTGACATACGCAGTCGGTGAATTTCAGTCTACTATAATAGTAATATAAGTAATATGAAAAGTGATGACATGTCCCAAAACTGAACTAAACAGATTCCATATAGGAAATTAAATGAATTTGCGAGTACATGTATTAGATGTCCATCATGTGTATACCAATGATGTTTCGTCTTTCTTCACTTCATAGCAATCTACTATTTTTAACCTATATAAACGTATGGAACGCCATAGCTGCCTTAAGGTTAATCTTTGATTATATGCAGTGGTATAATAATTATATGCAGTGGTTAAATCATTACATGCAGTGGTTAAATCATTATATTCCGTGGTTAAATCATTATATGCCGTGGTTAAATCATTACATGCAGTGGTTAAATCATTATATGCCGTGGTTAAATCATTATATGCAGTGGTAAAATCATTATATGATGTGGTTATATCATTATATGATGTTGTTAAAACAGTATATGCGGTGGTAAATTCACTATATGATGTGGTGAAATAATTATATGAATTGGTATAAAAATTATATGATGTGGTTAAACCAATATATGGTGTAATTGCATCAATATATGAAGTGCTCACATCATTATATAATGTGGTAATATTATTATATGATGTGGTATAATCATTATATGATGTGTTTATATCATTATATAATGTGGAAATATCATTATATGATGTGATTATATCATTATATGATGTGGTATAATCATTATATGGTGTGGTCACATCATTATATGCAGTGGTTATATCATTATATGATGTGGTATAATCATTATATGGTGTGGTCACATCATTATATGCAGTGGTAATATCATTATATGATGTGGTATAATCATTATATGCAGTGGTTACATCATTATATGATGTTGTATTATTATATGATGTTGTTGTATGATTCATTACCACTGAGGGTAGTAAGTTGAAATGGAATGTACTTGTAACCCAATATGATATTTAAAATTGTCTTAGGAATGTAGGCCAATTTACCTCTCCGACTCTCTCAGAACTCAGTGTTAACCTATATCTGTCACTGAGTCACTTCTAGGCGTGCTAATGAGGTTTAATATTTCCCATTTCCCATATTCGCTCGAATTGATTTATAGCATAGTTTGATAAATAGTTGCATACAGACTTTACTTAATCTAATGCTTATGTTAAATTTTCTCATATTGTGATATTGTCTGTGTAGACAAAGTATGGAATATTCCAAAAATTCCAACTTATCAATTTGTTAATTTAATAAGTTTTTGAATACTACACATTAATGAGTTCCTCAGGGCTATGTATTGAAATGTACCTGTAACCTTATCTTGGTGTAAGCCAATTTAGCTCTCTGAGTCTCCTAGAACTGGGTTAACATGTTGACATTTATGTAATGGCACTATGTAATTCAAGGGCTAGAGGCAAGGAAGGGAGTTTTAGAATGGAGTCTAGAGTGGAGTCAGATTTTGATTGGTTGTATATTGTTTTACGTCCCATTGGTCTGATTTTAAGAAGTCTAACCTATCATAATCAAAATAAAAATGAATTTCTTAAATAAAGACAAGAAATCTTACTTCAAATTTTTGCTGAAAGGTAAGTTTTAGAGCTACTTGTTGAACCTCCAGTCCATAAGTTAAATAATGCCGTGTGAAACAAAGACTCCCAGACTCAGCAAACTTTGATTTTATTTCACATTTGTACAATCATCCAGTAAAATGTCTTCTCCTAGTATGTCCAGCATTGATTCTGTGTTAGAAGAATTGAAATTACAGTATCTTATTGGCCGATTTCATGAGGAAAAAGTAGAAATTAGTGATATTCAGAGCTTGACAGATGGTGAGCTTAATCGTCTCGGGGTGACAACTATTGGAGACCGGGTAAGACTGAGAGAAAAAGTGACTGAATTAACAAAACGCGATTGCTCGTCACATCAACAAACCCCTTCCACAAGCAGACCGTCAGCACCAGAACAGAATGAACTAGGTGTGGATCATTTAAGGAGACAGAGAAATTTGCTATTTTCTAGATCTAGCACTAGTAGGAAGAGGAAGGATGTTGCAGATCCAGATAAATGTGTGCAAGTTAATAAACGCTCATACAGAGGTTGGACAGTTTCAGTGATGTGTTTATCTGATAAAAACAGTACCAGAGTCCCCACTGCGGATGAAAAAGAACTTTTGTTAAAAGCAGGATTGGGCCTGAAAAAAATGAAATTTGGATTGATGGATGGAGAGACAGAAGTGATACAAAAACTTTCATCTGATGAAACTGACGAAAACGATGAATGTCTTGGCTTTCCTCAATTGAAGACTTGTGGTGGATTTGAATTGATGAGAAGTCAATCAAACAGCAGAATTTTAACTTTGATTGACATTGAATGGTCTGTTAGAAATCTGAAGGCTTGCATTGGATCACAAGGTAAACTTTACATCAGACCAATACAAATGAATCTCTCAACTGAATCTAAAAAGAAAAAATTGGAAAGTACCAAATCACTGGCAACCGAAACATGCAAGCAATGTGGAGACTCATTTTCAATGGCAGAGCTAAGAGCACATTGTCAGTCCTGTGTTGGAGAATCTAATGAAACTAAAGATGAGAAAAATGAACAAGAAATAAACACACCAGATGCAGAGGAGACAGATGACTTGCCAGATCCTTTACTGGAACCTGCAACAAATTCCACTACATATATGGAAACAACAGCTGCTATTTCTGCAAGCTCTGAATTAGTATTCTTTATGGATGAACCGAGTTTCTCAAATAATTTGGCTGACAGAGAAATAAATATTAATCATGATACTGAAGACTTGTCCACAGAAGATGTTCAGCCAGTAAGCATTATTGATACAGCTACTAGGGCAGTTCAGTATTGTACTGCACAGCAAATACAAGATCCTGTGGATATTTTACGATATTTACAGTCTGTCCTGGTCATCGGACGGAAATTAGACATTGATGATCCTTCCCAGCCTATCGAAGGCCAAACTAACTACATCTGTGTGGACAGATCTAATATACTGACAACAGCGTTTGAAGAGATAAAGGCAATAGATGATCTAAGGTTCACTCTAGAAGTACAATTTTATGGCGAGGTATGTTTTTGCATGAACTTATATGCAACTTCATACTACGTAGTATTTCATTATATAAATCTTTTTAATGTGAAATCTATTCAGTGTATAAATTAAAAAAGCTAATTAAACACAAGAAACTAAGCAAAGAATTTTAATGTATGTCTTATTCTCTATTCCTTTTAACTTGAAGTATGTCTTTAAATGCACATAAATATACATATGTATGGTTTATAGGTAGCGGCAGACTATGGTGGTCCGAGAAAAGAGTTCTTCCAGCTGGCCTTGATGGAGATCAAAGAAAAATACTTTGATCATGGTATTAGAGAGCATTTGGCTGAGGACTACACAATAGTTGGAAAAATTCTTGGTAAGTTTATCGCTGTAAAATTTTCTTCCTTTTGAGTCTATTATTGTAAAATATTCTGAGATACATTTTTGAAATGGTAAATGAACTAAAATATTTTTATACGCATTCTTTGTAAGTTCATTACAAAAAAAATTGACGTGAAACTTTATTACATACATTTTTTTCAATCATACATGGACCTTAAGTGAAATATTTTTTCATGTAACTCACATTGCCCTATATATATATATACATTTGTAGCTTTGAGCATTCTTCAAAATGGAAAACTCCCACGGTTTTTTGATGAGGAGTTACACAGTCTTGTGTTTTCAGAGGTGTCTGCCAGTTCTAGGTGCATCACAAATTTGAGAGCTGGGCTGGATTCACTGGGACTGTATACGGTATACCATCTTTTTAATATCTGACTCCAGCTATACCGGGGTGCACTGTGTACATTTTTTGATATGTTAATGATTTTTATTGATCAATTCGAGTTAAAATTTGTAGGTTGGTGTAAGGTTGCCTATGTTCAGATATTTACTACAACCATCAACCACCAGTATAACAGTAAAAGCTCTGATCCAACTACTGCATCCAAAGTTTGCAGAGGAGGGGTCCAATACAAGACGTTTTGAAAATATCATATATGCAACTTTTATGAAATACCTACGAGAAATTGCAAGTAAGTTACTAGTTTTTAAGCAAACATCATTCAATAAAACAAATGTATTGTGAAGACAACAATAAAAACATTTACTATTTTTTAATATTTGAATTAGTGATTATCTTAAGTCAGACTGATGGTTGACATCAGATACTAAAGCATGCTAAATGGGGAGAGTTTTTGGAGACTGTCTTGAAAAATCAATTAACAAAATTGAAAGTACAGCTGTAAGTAATATGGTCTTCTACTTTGTTTTAGCAACATCTGCATTTTCAATCATGATTCCCTTTTTAGGTGGCAGAAGAGGAACTGTATCTCTACAGCATGTTTTGCAGTTCACAACAGGTACACCAGAAGAGCCTGTGCTTGGTTTCACACTACACCCATCTATAGATTTTGTTGAAGCACAGTCTAAGTCAGGTTTTATACCCACTGCAAATACATGCATCAATACCCTGAGATTACCAAGACCAACATCTGATGTACATTTACCCTCGGAGGAGGAACTTTTTCGCTTATATGACTACGCATTTATGAATACATTTTATGGATTGTATTGAATTCTTTTGTCGTCTTAGAGCATTAGGGATCACTTTACCCAAGGTCTGTTTGTCTGTCTGTTCCTTTGTCTGTCTTTTTTGGCTTGAACTATAATGCTGGAAATATATTTAAAGAAAAGATAACTTCCATTTAGTTTAATTTGTCTTTAATGATAATCTATAGCAGGTGACACATGCATTTCTTGGAAACTCTAGTTGACTTTAACTGCACATTCTGAAAGATGCTTAGTGCTATTTTTGTAAATAGGAACATGTACTTGAAGACTTCATTATGGTTTTGTGTAATTTGATTTGTTGAAAGCCCATGAGGTCACTTTTTTGCGTCTAGAAATGGAGTATGTTTGAATTTATGTGGCCAAAAGAGTCAAATTTGTGTAAAGATTTCTTTTTTCAAAGCCAAACACTGTGTTTAGCCACAAAGGATTTTTTTTTTATTTCTTCTACACATACAGAAAGAAATAATAATGAAGAGCATGACTGATAGGAGTGAAGAAGCAGTTAATGTGTATAGTGAACTTGAGTATGGCTTACACCTGCATTTTGAAAGAACATTTAAAATAAGGTTACCATTTGTGTACATGTATTCCTACCTTATAATGCAGGCCTATTTTCACAAAAAAATAATTAAGATTTTTTCAGTGATAACAATCACTGCACATTCACTAAGTAGGAAAAAGTTTTTAGCAAAATGCAGACCAACAAGATTTTTATCAAAAATTGTATTACTAGAGGTTATAAGTACTGCATGTCAACAATTCAAATGTGATATGTTTGAAGTGTGTGATAAATTTTGGAATGTTTTGTAAAAGCTGCGGTAATGAAAAGTTCTACAATGGAGGAGTCACATCAGTCTAATTAAAAAAAGTTTTCAACAAAGATTAAGCAATTTTTTCCTTAATTTCTTGGAGCATGTGCTACCATTGTATACATAAACGTTGATCACAATATGATGAATGTCAGTATGCAATGTCCAAGATACCAGTACATATGTGTATCAAAGGTTCTTGTAAGTATTTTCATGAAAATAAAAACACTGCATTGCTAAATAGCCAATTTTTTATCAGCCACAGGTGCATGTTTTTGATTCTTCTAAATTCCAGTTTTCACTCAAAGGATAAAAAAATCCACGATTTTAAACATTATAGTTGCATTTGTGGCCTTAATCATTGAACATTTGAATAACTCTCAAAGCTGTTATATAATCTTCAATGCCAAAATTTCTTTGAAACTGCAGAACTGAGATTTCTTCTGACAACATTTGTTGGCAATGGTCAATTAAGGCAGAGTTAAGAGGAGGAAATATTGGTCTTTCATTTTCTTCTACGTCAGAAAGGTCACCATATATTAAGTCCTCATGTAAGTCTTGATCTATGTCCATCCCTACAGGGTTCTGTATTTGTCCAGACATCCACAGAGCTTGTGGGGTGGACTTTACAGTTCTAATTCTATGTGAATTCCATGCTTTGGACCACACACCAAGCTTTCTGTTAATTTCTGCCATATATATGTAGTGAAGTGCTTGCAAATGCGTGCTGTTCAAGCAGTCAAGGATTCCTAGATCCTCCATGTGGTAAAATAAGTGGTAAAAGTAACTAAGAACACCTTCAAACACGTCACGCCACAGCCTTTCTATCCTTTGGTTATGTGTGCTTTTGCCTGTAATCATCCCATTAGGTCCTCTTTTTGCTAAAATATAGTCTGCTACTCCAACATTTTCTAGACCTTTGTCACTGCGAACTCGAAGAGGTACACCATACTCATTCACACCTCCTAAGAAATGTTGGAGAACAGTTTCCGACTTGTTGTTGTCAGAACAATTTAAGAACATAACCATTCTACTAAAACCATCAATACCACCCACAATCACAAATCGCCATCGGATTAGTTTATGGTTTGTGTCAATATGCCACAAATGGTTTGGTCCCATGACGTTATAAACTCTTCTGTGGAGCCTTGTCCTTCGCCGCTCCACTACTCCTGTTTCGTCTGTTCGGTGTATAGAATCTCTGATTCGCCATCTTTGAATTTGCAGTCCTTCTTGTTCCAGGATTTGTTTCAACATTTTTTCACCACATAATGGAAAATCAGCCTTTGCTTTTAACACTCTCATATCAAGCTGTTGATCTGTTATATTACTAAAAGCGATTTTACTTAAAGAATACTTGTTCATTCGTCGGTATATTGTTCTCTGCGAAACCAACAAAAGGTTAGCTATTTCAGATATCTCAAAACCATTTTCCAGAAGATTTTCAAGTGTGCATTTAGGAATGTCATATTCAGGAGCCCCTCCATCCACTGTAACTTTGCCTGGTTTACAACTTCCATACTTCACACACTCAGTACGCAACTTCATCATGTCAGAACTGTTAGTTATTCCCAAAGTTTGCAGTTCAGCCATGGAGAGTTTTCCAACAATGTCTGGTGTTATCTTCTCCTTTTCAAAGTTTGAGTAAACAGTCTCTAAATGAAGTTTTTTGAGAACTTTTGTCATTGCAGTATCCGCCATTTTGAAAAGACGGTATATTCTGTGATCGCTAATCGCTATATATTTGTGTGACGAACTTCATATAAGTTGTTTTTATCACATCATATAATGAAGTGATCACTGCATATAATGATAAAACCCCATCATATAATGATATAACCACTGCATATAATGGTTATACCACATCATATAATGATTATACCACATCATATAATGAAATAATCACTGCATATAATGATTATACCACATCATATAATGAGATAACCACTGCATATAATGATGTAAATCTGCATATAATCATGGGACCACTCCAGAGAATCATTTAACCTCATTGTATAATGATTTCACAACTGCATATAAAAATTAGACCACCACATATAATGATTTGACAACATCATATAATGATCTGACAACATCATATAATGATTTGACAACATCATATAATGATCTGACAACATCATATAATGATTTGACAACATCATATAATGATCTGACAACATCATATAATGAATTGACAGCATCATATAATGATTTAACCACATCATATAATGATTTTTCAACTGCATATAATGATGTAACAACATCATATAATGCTATAATCACTGCATATAATCAAAAATTGACCTTAAGGCAGCTATGGCGTTCCATATAAACGTGTAGGATAATTGCTATTGGTTGTATTATACAACACTCATTGAAGTAGACAAGAAAGAACAATGTAGAACCATTGTGTTCATTCAATTATATAGATAAGTGTCTAAATCTTTATTACACCAATTTAATGCAAATCCTTAATAGACTGGAAATTAAGCCCTTTAATATCTGACAAAATGTATACATAATTTGTGCTGAAAAATCAGTTTTAATATTCTGCATCTCCATTTAATGTAAAGGACATACAACCCCAAATGTGTTTATTTACAATGTTAATAATGAATGGTGTAACTTGTAATAATTCGTAATAATGATGTATACAATTACCCTAACATAACAATGTATGTACACATCCTTTAAAGGACGGCGGTTGCGGTAATGGCTTGTTTGTGTTGGTCTGGTCAATGTCCATCATCTAAACAAGAAAAAGGAAAAGGGTATCTCTTCATGCTCCAAGAAATTATCTCTCTTTAGCCCTATCATTTTTCAAAAGAAAAAAAAATATGATCGCGTATGATCTTGTACTAGTATCTTGGGACTAAAAACCAACTAGAAGTGCGTATATTTAATATCTACTTAAACCATTTACTTACAATACAAGTCATATATACTGTTAAAGTATGAACATAAAGTATATTATGATAGTATTAATTTCTTCACATCAGGAAGCATAAACTTTACCTTTTTGTAAGCCATATCACTTGTTAAGGAGAGATATTTTTGTAGTATTTGGTTGAACTAATTTATTACGATTGACATCATTAGGTATTAAACCAGAAAGTAACTTTTTACTTTTTTAAATTATTTTCTGTAACAGGATTTGTTTGTTTATTTAACGTGCCTTCGAGAATTTTTCACTCATGTACTAGTAATTATTGAGACGCCACCACTTGCCGGTGGAGGGCTGCAAATCTAGACCTGTACTCGGCACTTACGGTCTTTGAGCAGTGAGGGATCTTATTCGTGTCTGCACCTAATGCGACACGGGACTTCGGTACGGTCTCATCCGAAGGAACGGTCTCCACGTAAAACAGTGGATTCGAACCGGCAACGTAAGGATCAAATCCTTACGCCGCGAGTTTAGAGCAAACGCTCTAAGAAATAATAAGATCAGAGTGCTGCAAGATTAAGTTATTATAAGATGAAGACCTTATACAAAATGAGCAACACTTGGTAAGAAAAATGTGTGATCTTCAAAAAAAATATTTGTATAACAAACGCTGTGGCCGAAAATCAACCAAAATTTGATATATTTTTTATCTAAACATTTATATGTGTTTCCAACAGTATTCGAAGATATATGCATCTATTGGTATTTAAGAAGAAAAGTTTTTACAATTAAAGTATAGACAAAAAAAAATGGTGAAGTACAGTTTTTTAATATTTTGATATTAATGTAAATTTACAGATCTTATTCAATAGGATGAATGGCGAATTGATAAGAAACGCACGCTTTAAAGATTAATTTGGAAGTACCTCAATTTTTACAGTATGCATAGAAACAGAAATGTGGTTATTCATATAAAAATATACCTCGGAAAAAAAAGATGACTTTCTTTCCATATATGTCAGCTTTGGGAATTATGAATCATTGTAAATAACTTTGAAGGACCTATCCTTATACATGAGGCCTGTTTTATCTCAGTTGGTTAATTATAAAAGGATCTTAATAACTCAGCAAAAATCAACAATTGTGAATTATTTATTCTGAACCAAGTCTCTCTTTTTCCCTAGAGGTACCTTTGTGGGAAAACTTGCACATTTCTAAACGATCGTTGTCGTATAACAAATTCTTTATGGCTGCAAAGCATAGATCAATAAAATGTAAGAACTGTGTTTTAATGATGATCATCGTTGGTACCTCGA